AAATACTCACATGATATTGGACTCATCGACAAAGGATGCAAAGCTGTGTGGATGTTCCCTAAACACAAAGAACTTCCAACTGGGTAAAGGGAGAGAATCCCACTGGTATCTATGATACACACCAGTATGTAGATGGAGCCTAAGGGGGGGACTGTCCATATGCCACAGGTAACTTGTGGCTAGAACGGTGAAGGACAAAGATGAGTTTGAGCTAATATTTTTTTTAAAAATCTTTAAGTGTTTTGCAATCATGCATGTGTACTCACTAAAGAGAGATAAAGAGAGGGAAAGTGAGGAATCACTCACCAAAGGGGATGGCCACACCACAATCTCCTCTCCTCCACTCTCCTCTCAGGATTTTGAATATGCATGCACAAGGGCCCGGCATGATTTTTCAAGTTACCAGGTCCGTGGCTCTAACCTCGGTCTTGAGCTGGTCTTTGAAAGGCAGGTAGGCTTTTCTGGCTAAGAGGAGATGAGGAGAAGGGCATATTTGGGAAACAGAATGACTTGAATAAAGACGTTGTTCAAGGTCCGTTCGGTAGAAGGACAGAGATGGATGAATGGTGTAGAGTAGCTCTTTCTGCAGGGTGATTGGATATAGACATCGAGACAGAGTTTAAACCAAATCATAGAGGGTGTTGAATGGCACTGGAATTTAAAGATACAGATGTGTCAGGTGCTGAAAAAGACATGATGCTAAAGACACTCAGATGTTTGTCTGGAGGTCTGGAGGGCCATTTGCCCTTGACATGCTTTTAAGAGAGTGAGGAGGTGAGTGGCCTGAGCTCCTGGGATCTTTCATGGCAAGCCCCCTGTCCAACTTCTGGGCAGCTGGCATTCTCTTGCCCTCAGTATGGGGCTAGGGGTGAGCCTGTTGCCTCAGCAACCAGGACTCAGGTTCCAGAGCAGATTTTAGCCCACGGCGGCAGAGCCATCCTGACATTGGCTCCCCACTCCTAGCGCCATCTTTGCTCCCAGCCAGGCTGTGCTCATTTAGGGTTTTCTGGTGAGTTGAGCAGCTCTTGCAGGCTATGCAAGGCCTTGGAGCAGGCAGGGACAGGCTGGCAAAGAGACTCCCTGAAGGCCCTATTTGCATGCTCGGTGTGTGGTATAATTTCCCAGCTGGTCCGAAAGGTCAGCCAGGGGATTTTGTTTGTAAAAATAGAGAGGAGCATAAGTTGCTGACTATTTCTTTTTTAATTCTTTCTCTCTCCCTTCCTGGGACTAGAAGCTGGGTTATGCTCCTTGCCAGAAGCTTTTCCTCCTTGTCAACTGATAGCCTCTCTTTTTTCTCTTCTCCAAGGTAAGGGATGGGTTCTTGGCTGTATGTCTGATCGTTTCTGAAAAGCCTTCAATTCTCTGCTCACAGAGGCTGGCTTCAGTGCTATTTGTGCAACATGACACGGTATGTGTGTCAGGGCTTTACCCCGAGGTCCCCTAGGAAGTGCACCGCCTCCTCAGAAGCCACTGCTGCTGCCCCTTGATAGTCCCTGGAATGGAGCAGTCAGGGGTGGCAGTTAGAATACATCATTGATGGATGCTTGGCCAATATGGACGACTTTCCAGTCTCCATGTGGCGAGGCCGTTTGGATAAGGTTAGAGATGCCTCTTCTCTGGACCAGATGAATTCAGAAAGTTCTGGGTAAGGAACAGATGCCCAGTGTCCTGTGCAGAGGCCTCATTTCTATGAGACTCTTCCCCACTCTTTGGCTACACTCCAGCAAGAGCCCACTTCTACGTTTTCTCTCTGCGTTCTGTTGCTGGTGGGAGGATTCGGAGTGGACTCTATTAAACCAAAATGCAGATGCCTCTAACGCAGCCCATCAGAAGGATAGATACCAATCTGTTGGTTGGAGATATTTGTGGGTTTTGGTTGCAACATATGAGGGATTCTCACACACCCGCACACCTCTGTGAAGGAAGCCCACCACTGATGCTTCATAAGAAGGGAGTGTGCTCTGCAGGTTAAAAGCATCTGGCAGAGTCAGACAGAAACAGGTGAAAATGCCCAGCTCACCCACTTGCCTGTGAGACTGGGCAAGTCACATTTGGAGCATCAGCATCCACATCTGTTAGCTAGGATACTAGCAGTCCCCACCTCACCATGACACTGAAGGACAAGACGAGCCAACCTTGTAAGGGTTTCACACAGAGCTCAGCACATACGAAGCAAGTGGCAGCTACCATTCTTAAGGCCGTGGCTTTGTAATTATTGGCATTGATCAGCCAAAGTGGGGGAGAATGGTCCTGAGGAGTCTCCTGCATGCTCTCGACTGCTGTTGCTCCCACAAACAATCCAGACAGCTGTTGCAAAATGGCACTGACACAGGGGCTAATTTTACACAATATTAAATTTTAGATGCAGCTGGGTCGTCCCCAGCACCTTCCCACTCACATCTGGCACGCAGCCCCACAGAGGCCGTCTTCTCTCTGACTTCCAGATTGACCTCACGAGGGTGTTTGTAGCTCAGCTATCAAAGGGTTGTTAATTTTACACACGTACCACATTAATGCACACTCCAAATGGTCTCATTAGTTTTTCTGCTGATAGCCAGCTTTGGAATGGTTGCTCTGACTGTAGAAATCCTGCAGACATGAGCTCTCATTATTTTTAGGGATAACACCCCCACGCACCCATAAATAGAGGGCAACTTTCATTTGGGCTTTCTCTGTGGTTCCATTGGTCCATTTTATGGGGAAAGTGGTGAGTCGGAAAATAGCACTTTGCCGTTCAGGTGTGACAGATGCAGGTAGGGTGTCTCAATTTGCACGATGCAGGAAGGGAGTTGGGCACATAGGTGAGGATCAGATACCCTGGTGGACCACAAGCTTGAGAGCTCTGGGCAGGGCAAAGTGGCTCGAATGACTGACACAGATCGCACCAAGTATGTGAGCATCTGGCCCTAGGCTCAGCCCAGTTAATCCTCCAAGGAGGAAACAGTAGACCAAAGAAGGACTCAGTCATTCTTACAAACTCTCAAAGGAGGTCTTATGAGAAGCCAGCCCTCCGTCTATGTACAACCCTTTGAGCTCTGAGTGCCAGAAGGTAACATTTTTTACTTAATCTTTACGCAAGACTCAAAGCCCTTACTTCTCAGGGATTTCTGTTAAAATTAAAATGTCCTTGGGACCAGTAGGTGGCATAATGGTTATGTGGCTGGACTCCCATGTAGCTGAACGCAGTTCAAGCCTTGGACTTGGCAGCTTAAAACTCATGGTGGGCATGTGTGCATCCATGCCCAAGGTCCCAGGAGAGGAATGGAGAAGAAGAGATTGTGCTGTGGCCATCCCCCCTGGGGGGTGATTTCTCTTTTTCTGTCTCTCTGTCTCTCCAGCAAGCGTACATGCCCTATAGCAAAAATCTCTCTCTAAAAAAATTCAAATGTCCTCATAAAGCTTCCATCATTGTAGCTGCAGGTAGGTCCTTGCCAAAGAATAAAGGGAGGTGGAGCAAAGCATGCACACAAGAAGATCGGCGGCTCTGGCGTGCCCCCCTCCACCAGCAGTCAGAGGGGCGTCGGGAGCTGGTGGCCAGCATGCTCTCTCTGGCCTCCACAGGCGCCACTCTCAGGGCTATGTCTGGCAAGCCTGAAGAATGTCCATCTCCCTCTCCTTTGGGCTAATGCCTGGGAGTAGCCCTCTGAGAAGCCGTGAGGGATGAAGCTGAGGTCACAGGTCTGTTCTTTGGACTCAGGCCTCCCATCAGAAATCTAGGAGACTGGAGGTCAGCTCAACTTCACTATAGCTGTCATAGGCCCCATGGTGAAGATCCCATGGCTAACTCTCAGGCAAGTGGCTTTGCAAACTGCGTGTCTCGCTGGCAAACCCATTAACAGTAAACCTCAGGTGTGGGGACCTTGTGTGGGCAGCCCCCACACTGCTGGCTCAGAGCCAGCCCCGATTCATCAGGTTCAGGCTGACTCCATAGCCTAGTGATTAGGGGAGCCGGATCCCACATGGCCGAGTATGTGGGTTAGGATGGCAGCACTAGTGGCTTGAAAAACATGGCAGGCATGAGCATACCCCAAGTCCTGACGAGACAGAAATGGAGAAGAGATTGCAGCATGGTGGTGTCCTATGGCTCTCTCTCCTTCCCCCTCTCTGTCACTTCCTAGCAAGCACACAGCTTCTGGTAACAACAACGGGTGCAGACACTACAAAGGCAGATTCTTACTAGAGGTATTGTTTAGCTCCCAGCCTCCCTGTTGGACTGTAAGCTCCAACAGACCGGGTCTTTCTCATCACTAGGCCTAATACAGAGCCTGGTACTCAGTGGGTGCTCAGTATTTTTGAATGAAAAAAATTGCAACCAGACTTTCACATGTCCTAGACCATGAGCTTTGAGCTGAATTATCCTCTCATGGCTGTGTGTTTAAGAAGAAAAAATAGGGGCCCACAGGTGGTGCGGTGGTTGAGGCACTAGACTTTCACATGGCTGACTGTGGTTCAAGTCCTGGAGCAGGTAACTTGCTTTCTCACTTTCTCTCTTTCACCCTCTTTGTCTCTCTCTAAGTGAGCACATGTGCCCTATAGTCAACTTAAAAAAAATAGTAATAATAGAATTAATTCTTAAAATATGAAAAGAAGGGAAAACATAGTTTTTACATATGATTAAAGAAAAGAGGTAAGTTATAGAACATGATGTACTTGATGATCTTAGGTTTGTGTGAGAGAGAGAGAGGGAGCGAGGCAGAGAGAAAGGTAGGGAGAGACAGAAAGAGGCCCAGAGACCAGCAGAGAGGTGGGAGGATGCAGAGAGAGACTGACACAGTGGTGGTCGGGGGTGAAGACTGGCTTGTCTGGCTTGTGTTTGTATTTTCCCCAAATTTGGTCATGCACGTGTATTAGAAGCATTTTCTATTAAAACTATGAACAGCTCTCAAGTACTTTGAAACCTGTCATTTGATGACAACTCGGCAAATGAAATGTCACCTTGCTCACAGAGTCCCTTTCGTCAGCTGTGGCTGCCTTATTTATGGGCCCTCTTTTCCTCCCAGGGCTGTGGTTTTTACTGAACTTGAAGAAACGGGATATAGAGGGGATGAAAAAACTCACGCGCTCCTAGCAGCCCAAAGGTAGGTTTTCATCAAGCGAGCAGCTCTCTCTGCAGAGGTGAGGAACCATCCGACTGAATGAAGGGGTAATCTAAGGTCAGCATTTAAATAGAACTGTTGCTTTTCCCAGAATTAGCCGGAGAGATCAAGCGACTTCCTCTGCCACCGAGTTACCCTTCAAAGATAAACAGCATTTCCTCATGGCTTTGTGGGCTTCAAGCTTTATTCTTGGTGCTGAACTCAATGTCTCTTCTCTCCAGGGAAAGGCAATCAGAAATCTCAGTCCTCAGAGAGGAGGGTCAGAGTCCTGATTTACCCAAAGATCAGAGGCAGAGATAGGGGTTGGGGCAGGTGGAGATTGGAGAGGCAGATGGAGGAGCACCACGAGAGGGAGAAACCACAACCTCTGCCTCTGGGGGTTATAATCCAACTAATACTTCTTTTATGGTTTAAATTTTCTTTCCAGTGATTAAAGGAGCCTGTGGTTATAAATACATAGCCCCTGGAAATCTATAATCTGAAATTATATAGAAAGTATAGTGTGGTGGTATGGAGATTTAGGCAGATGGATCTTACATGGCCGACTGTGCAAGTTGAATCCTAGACCTGGTAGCTTGAAAAACATGCCAGGCACCTGGGCGTGCATTCCAGAAATCCTGAGAGGGCAATAGGGACTGATGCGTGGCCATCTCCTCTGGGGGAGTGCTTCTCTCTCTCTCTCTCTCTCTCTCATGAATGCACGTGCACACTCACACACATGCACCCTATAGCAAATTTTAAAAAGAAAAAAAAGAATAAAGAAGACATATAGTTCTTTTCATCAGGCATGCACTAAAATACATGTTTCTTTGCCTTCATTTCCTGGCATTTCTGACTAGACGCATCCCAGATACTTCAACATACTACCCTGTATGCATGGATACATGTATCACCGTTGGACAGGAGCATATTTAAAAGGTTCATGGAAATGCATATTATGAAAAAACTAAGCATGGATTTCAAAAATTTTTACATCAAAATAAACTCATCCTTTCCATTTTTCCCTTGATTTTAGTTTAAAGTATGCATCATACCGAATAGTTTCACTGCCCTAAAAATCCTCTCCACTCTACCTATTCATTCTTCCCTCTCCCCTGGCAATCACTGATTTCTTTCTTTCTTTCTTTCTTTCTTTCTTTCTTTCTTTCTTTCTTTCTTTCTTTCTTTCTTTCTTTCTTTCTTTCCTTCCTTCCTTCCTTCCTTCCTTCCTTCCTTCCTTCCTTCCTTCTTTCTTTCTTTCTTTCTTTCTTTCTTTCTTTCTTTCTTTCTTTTAACTATCTCCAGTGTTTTGCCTTTTCCAGAATGTCATAGTTGAAATCATACAGTATTCAGCCTTATCATATCGGCTTCTTGGCAATATGTGTGTTTTCTTCATGTCTTTTCATGTATGATAGCTCATTTCTTTTTAGCATTAATATTCCATTTTCCAGATGTACCACAGTTTATTTATCCACTCACTTGCTGAAGGATGTCTTAGTTGCTTCCAACTTTGGGCAGTTTTTTTTTTTTTTTTTTGAGAGGTTTTTGCTATAGGGCGCGTGCGCTCACCAAGACAGAGAGAGACAGAGAGACAGAAGTGAGAAATCACTCCCTTGGGTGGGGGGGTGGACACGCTACAATCCCTTCTCCTCAATTCTCCTCTCGGGATCTTGGGCACGCATGCACACACACTCTGCGTGAGTTTAAGCCACTGGTTCCGAGACTCGAACCACGGTTGACTACATGGGAGTCCAGCGACATAGCCATTACGCTAACTGCTGGTCCCTGGGCAGTTTTGAATAAACTATTATAAATATCTCTGTGTAAGTTTTTGTGTGAAAATAAGTTCTCAGTTCATTTAAGTAAATAACCAAGGAGTGCGATTGCTTGATTGTATGTTGAGAGTATGTCTAGTTTTGTAAGAAGTTGCCAAACTGGTGCTCGCATTGGCAGCACATATACTAAAAATGGAACCATACAGAGAAGATTAGCATGGCCCCTGCACAAAGATGACATGCAAATTCGTGAAGCATTCCATATTTTTAATGAAAATGTATTGAATGATGAAGTGGGGATTTTAATCTCTCTGTATTGACTCACATGCATGGCATTCCCTCTGGAAAAAGAAATGTAATACACTGTAAAGTTATATGTGATTCAATATAATATAAACAAAATTACAATGATAATAAATAAATTTTTAAAAATGGATGCAATTATGTTATACATCACTTTAGAGAAAAAATAAAAAGGTTGCCAAACTGATTCCTACAGTGGCTTAATCTGTTTTTGAATTGCTAACAGAAATACTTGGGACTGGGTAATTTATAAAGTAAAGAAGTTTATTCCACTCAGAGTTTGGAGGTCCAGTGCCCAGAAATAAATCCCTCTTGTGGCATAGGGCAGGATCTTGAGCGGAGCTACCATCCATAAGTTTCTCTGTCTCATTCTTATCTCATTCCCTCAGTTTAAATACACACCAAAGCTCAATCACAGGGCCCCCATCCTAATCACACCTGAGGACCTCATCCCTGGATATCATGATGGAATTAAGATTTCACTTAACACTTCTGCAATACCATCAATAATCAACATATGCATTTTGAAGGACATCCAAAGTCAAAAAACATGAAACTTTGGGGGACAATTATCCAAACTATAACAGTAATGATGAAAGTTCCTGTTGCTCCATATCCTCACCAACATTCGGTATTGTCAGTTTGGAAGATTTCGATCATTCTCCTAGATGGGCAATGGTAACTCATCTAATTTGTAAGTTTCTGACCTATATTTTCCTGAAGAACTTCTTTGAACATTTCTTGCAAGGCAGTTATGCCAGCAAGAACTTCCCTCAATTTTTGTTCATTTAAGAAGGTCTTTATTTCTCCTTCACTTTTATTTTTGAAAGGGGAGAGGGTGCCCCTATGACTTGGTCTTTTGTATTTTTCTCTCTCAGGCTTGTCCATGCTGAGCCTGCAGCGATCTATCAATTACAGTGTAGATTTTCCTACCCCAGCACTGGATCTTGTGGAGGTTTCTGCTTCTAGATTCTGGCCAATAGTTGTGACTCTCTATCTTCATCTCTGTCTCTCCAATTTGGGGACAGCAGTTCACCCTGTGATCTCATTACTTTAGTGGATCTAAGAAGAGTTGTTGATTTTACTTTGTTTAGCTTTTCACTGTTTGGTAAGATGGAGTGATGACATGAAGCTGCTTACATGCTCCCCCAATAGGGCAGCTGCTTATCTTTTAATTTAGAGATGAACTTGAAGTTGTGCTTATCACCTCTGTTCACACCCCACTGGCCTGGATTTAGTCACAGTGCCTCATCATGCTGCAAAAGGGTGACTGAGAAATGTTTTCATTTGTTTGTTTTTGCCAGAGGTCACATGCACTTGCCTGAGAGAGACTGAGACAGAGGGAGAAAGCATGCCCCCAGTGGGGTGTGGTCACCTTGAAATCTCTTCTCCATTTCTCCATCCCATTGGGATTTATGGCAAGCACACATATGCACCCAGAATGTTTTTCAATCTGCCGGGGCCAAGATTTGAACCATGGTCAGCCATGTGAGATCCAGCTTTTTTAATTACAAGGGTATGGGTCTGGCCTCAGAAATGTAATCTTTATCACATTTATTTATAAAATATTTTTGGTGCCTTCTATGTTGCTAACATTGTTCTGGGTGCTAGGGATACAGCAGTAAAGAACGCAGGCAAAAATAACTTTCCTCTTCAAGTTCATATCGTACTGGGATGGAGAGATATAAACACATAAAGAAAGAAAGAAAAATAAATAAATAAGCAAACAAATAAAACCTGTGATCTTCCTGATGGTGATGTATGTGATGGAAGGCTTCAAAACCTAAGGCAGGGCAGGGGACAGGGAGGGCGGGAGTGGAGGGTGCAAACTTGTGCAAAGACGGCCTTCCTTGAAAGGTGACATCTGAGCACAGGCCTGACGGAGGTGAGGAAGTAACCCATGATTGAACTTTAGGAAAGAATGTTCCAGGCAGAAGGAGCAGCTGAGCCCAGTGGCCTTGAGGTCAGTGGAGGGAGGCCAGCTGGCATGATGGTGGGCCAGTGAGAGGGCAGTGTGGAACAGAGTGAGCAGGTGGCACTAAGAACAAAGAACAATAGGAAATGGGGTGAAGCCCAGCCTCAGAGGCACAGACAGTGGGGCACCTCTGTGATGCTGGAGCCATATGGGAAAACCCGGGGTTTGGCTCCTGGGTTAGCGTAAACAGAGCAAAGCATTATTCTAGCAAACTGGAAGGCTAGGGGAGGATTGTGGCATGGGAGGACCCTATTGAGGGTCTCTTTCTCTTTCTCTCTCTCAAGAAGTAACTTAAGAGACCAGCAGTTAGCGTAATGGCTATGTCGCTGGACTCCCATGTAGTCAACCGCGGTTCGAGTCCCAGACCCAGTGTCTTAAAACTCACGCTGGGTGCATGTGCACATGTGCCCAAGATCCTGAGAGGAGAATGGAGGAGAAGGGATTGCAGAGTGGCCATCCCCCCTGGGGGGTGATTTCTCACTTTCTGTCTCTCTGTCTCTGTCTGGCCAGCGCACACGCCCTATGGCAAAAAACTCTCAAAAAAAAAAAAGTAACTTAAAAGAAAAATAAAAGCCTACAGCAAACTGTTACTAAGGATGTATAGAGTGGGATAGAAGCCCGACTAAAGTGGGGGAGACAGGTCTAAAACTGACTGCAGTAGTGTCCACAGGGAGATTGAGGCGTGAGAGTTCAGAGAAGAAAGTGTAGAGAGAAGAGCGACCACAGGCATCTGGTTAGGACAAATGAACGGGCCGGTGCATGAGTAAAACTGAACGGGCATGAACGGGCATGAGTAAAATTGAACGGGCCGGTGATGGCAGGGAGAACTGGAGAGAATAATCTGGGACAAGTCCCAGCTCTCTGACTTTAGTAATTGAGTAGATTCTAAGGCCAGGTACACAGAGAGGAAACAAATGGAAAGGATCCAAACTGGGCATGTGCACAACGATGTATTTAGCTTGGGCATGTTGACCTCCATGTGTGCATCTCCAGGGAGACAGCTAACCACAGTGGGTAGAGTCTAAAGTTCAGCAGTGAAGTCCTCTCCAAGATCTAGATTCAAAAGCTCTCAGACCAGGAAAGTGAGGGCCAGGCAGTGGCACAACAGTAACACTCTGGACCCACGTGGGAAGGTTCTGTGTTCACATCTCATGACTTCCCCAAGCATGTATGGTGCATTTGTGCATACCTTTGAGCCAGCCTGGCTGAGGCTGTGGGGTGATCATAGCTTGAAGACCCTGGTTGGGGGTGCGCCTCTCTCCCTGTCTCTCTCCCATGGAAGAAATAAATAAACTCTGAAAGAAAAAAACAAAGTGGGGCCAGCAGGTGGCATGGTGGTTAAGGCGCTGGACTGTCACATATCTGATCACAGTTCAAGCCCCAGATCTGGTGGCTTGCTTTCTCACTTTCCCTCTCTCTCTTGTCTTTCTTTGGCCAAATTTAAAACATAATAATAATAAATAAAATTAAATAATTATTGAAAAAGAAAAAAAAAAGAATAGGTAGGGAAGCATTACAGTTCTGACTATTAGGGATGAGCAGGTGGTAGGGAGCTTAAGGCAGTTGGATCCCACATGGCCAACTGCATGGTTCAAGTCCTGGGAATGGTGACTTGAAAATCATGCAGGATGAGTGTGTGTGTGCCCAAAATCCAGAGAAGAAAATGAAGGAGAAGCAACTGTGGCATGGCCATCATCATTGGGGGGTGATTTCTCATTTTCTCTCTCTATCTCTCTCTGTCTGTCTCTGGCAAGTGCATGAACCCTATAGCAAAAAAAAAAAAAAAAAAAGTGACTGATGGATGGTGTAGGAAAAGAAAGCAGTGGACCAGAAGGGAATCCTTGGGGAAATTAAAATATTTGAAAGTTGGCAAAGGAGGAAGACCCTATAAAGCGAGACAAGAAGCAATGATCAGAGAAACAAGAGGAAAATCGTGAAAGCTATCAAAGAAATAGAGAATCTAGAAAGGCCCTGAT